GTCGTCATCGTCGTCCGTCGTCGTCGCTCGAGAAGATTTTTGTGTTTGCCTCCGCGGCGTTGCCACGTCGAACGCAATAGAGTAATTATCTGTCGTTTTGCAGTTTTGCCACGTGGCCCGCAAACTTGTATCGTATTCAATCGCTTCGCTCACTCCTCCGGCCCATTTTTGGGCACTGCTGCGTCGACTGGCCGAGAGGAGGAGGAAAAAGTCTCTGGATGGCTTGTCGTGCCGCAGTCTCCCGGCAGGTGCCTCGGAAGCCTTTGGGGGGCAGTTTTGAGGCTTCTTGAGGCCTCGTCAGGGCCGTTTGGATGGCCTGGGGGCCTGATTTGGGGTGTTTCGGTGGCTTCTTGGGACTTTTGGGTGCTTCTTGGGGGCCTGCTGGCGGTCTCGGAGGGGCCCCTGGGGTCGGAAAGCTTCAAACGTCATTTCGAGTTCCTTCTCTGGGGGCGTCTTGGGCCGTCTTGGAGCCCTCTTGGGTCGTCTTGGAGCCCTCTTGGGCCCTCTTGGGCGCATCTTGGGGGCATGTTGGGCCATCTTGGGACGATCTTGGGGGGCTCTTGGGCAGTCTTGGACGCTGCGAACCTCCGAACGTGGTCTATGCCAGAAGTGCACGTTTTCCTAAGGAAATGAGCTGCTTTTTGGGGCTCTCTTGGAGGGCGTTTTGAGGCTCTCTTGGATCTCTCGGCGGCGTCTGGGGCCGTCTGGAGATCAGCATGGGCGTCTTGGAGTAATCTTTCGGCGATTCGGGGCCCCTTGGACCGCGTCGGGGGCGTCTCGGAGCCTTTTTGGCGTGTTCCTGGAGCGCTCTGGGAGGCCCGGAAGACAGCCCTCATGGACCGTCTTGGAGCCCTCTTGGGCCGTTTTGGGCGTATCGTGAGGGCATATTGTGCCATTCTGGGACGATCTTGGGGTCTCTTGGGCAGTCTTAGGCGCTGTGAACCTCCGAACGTCGTCTGTGCCAGAAATGCACGTTTTCCTCTGGAAATGAAGCGTTGTTTACTAGGTGGGGCCCTTTTGGAGAGCCTCTTGAGGCTCTTTTGGAGCTTCTCGGCAGCGTGTAGGGCAATCTGGAAACCAGCATGGGTGTCTTGGAATACTATTTCGGCGACTCGGGGCCCCTTGGACCGTTTCGGGTGCGCCTCGGAGCCTTTTTGGCGTGTTCTTGGAGCGCTCTGGGAGGCCTGGAAGGCACGGCCGTCTTGGGGCCCTCTTGGGCGCATCTTGAGGGCATGTTGGGCCATTTGGGAGCGATCTTGGGGGGCTCTTGGCCAGTCTTGAACGCTGTGAACCTCCAAACGTCGTCTATGACAGAAATGCACGTTTTCCTAAGGAAATGAAGCGATTGTTGCTTGTTTGGGCCCTCTTGGAGGGCCTCTTGAGGCTCTCTTGGAGCTTCTCGGCGGCGCCTAGGGCCGTCTGGAGAGCAGCATGGGCGTCTTGGAGCAATATGTTGGTGACTCGGGGGTCCTTGGGCAGTTTCGGGGGCGTCTCGGAGCCGTCTTGGCGCGTTCCTGGGGCGCTCTGGGAGGCCTTGAAGGCAGCCCTCTTGGGCCGTCTTGGAGCCCTCTTTGGCGCATAGAGGGGGCATGTTGGGCCATTTGGGACGATCTTGGGGGGCTCTTGGGCAGTCCTGGACGCTATGAACCTCCAAACGTCGTCTATGCCAGAAATGCACGTTTCTCCCAGCAAACCCTAAAGGAGGCTGGGGCAAAGGCGAGAGATAGCGAGCGTTTGTCCGCGGCCGTTTGTTCTCAAGCGGCCGCCCGCCAACATATGATTGTGCCTCATCGCGGGGCACGTTATTTGCCATTGAGACTGGAAACCTATTCGCTTGACATGGCCCGTCGCTCCCGCAACGATTTCCAACTTCTGGGATTATCGCTACAACGGTACAGAGTTGGACATGGGCTTCGCCTTAGGCGAAGTTTCTGATTGGGCCTCCCAACCCCTTTCAAACTTGGTAGCGGAGCTGGCCTATGGTGGTCAGCTCTAGCTCTACTCCTCACCATCCACGGCACTATCTGGTGGACTACTGACATGGTGGAACATCAGGGTGCAGTGGGTCTGCGCAGAGGGATGTACATAACTACGCACAACCGCAAGGACACTTGCAGTGTTACTTCCGTTTTCGCGGAGGCCTCTTACATGAGTCCCACTTCCCTGCGCTACTACACTCCTGAAGCCCACCCTCTTACTCCAATTGAAAACCTTTTTGAAGACACAATGCATGGTAACATGCGATACGACATTGCACCGCCTCCACCCCCACGCAGGTTAACTACAACACACCACAACCCCTAGCCACGAAAATCCGACCACGACCTAAGGAGCCACTGGATTGGTATTACAATCTTCGGCCTCCTGTGGGTCGCTATCGGATGCGCTGTGGGACATATGCAGCGTGGCGGAGACGACGCACGCACAATTGGTCCTCATTGGGACCCTGCCGGCAATGTACTTCTCCGCGAATTCGTTCGCGAAGTGCACGCCTGGATCAACGTGACCACAGGCAGCTGAGACCTCTTTTTGTCGGCAGCGCTGGTGGTCGCAAGCGCGTTTGCAATGCCAACGGGCCGCGCCGGGCATTAGGCGCACCAAGACAGGCGGAAAAGAAGAGGGCGGCCGCGGAGGCAGAGGAGGGACGGAGGGACGGAGGGCCGAACCGCCGAGTCGGTCGGGTGGAAGCGTACGGGCGGCATCAGGCACCGAGCACCGCTGAGTTGCCAGGGTGGTGCGGTCAGTCCAGGTTGTCGAGGGACGGACAGCGACGACTCCCAGCGCGATGCATATCAACAGCGAGTGGGGCGCAGGCAAAGTGCCCAGGTGCTTGCCAGAACCTCATGAGGTCGACGTTCTCGAAACTGGCAATTCCAGAGGCGGCCAGACTTTGGCGGGGGCCTCCAGTGGAAGGGTTGCCGTGAAGCCGGACCGGTGTCCAGGCGGGAACGAAGGCAACAAGCGAAGCCAGGCGACGCTCGGACCAGGGTCAGGCTTGGCTTGGCCGAAGGAGCAACCCGATGACGGGCGGCAAACGCCGGGGCCTGCGCGACTCAGGCCCCCGCCATGGCCGGAGGAGGGGGGCGACAGAAGAGGGCGGAGGAAAGCGGGGGAGGAGGGAGACACCCTGGGAGGGACGTGTCCGCGGACATCAGGGCCAGCATGGACCCCGCCGCCGCCGAGCAAGACTAGGGGCAACCAATCGGTGCAGCGACGTGTGGAACTGACGAGGCGACGAAGAACGCCTTGGAGGACCGTTCGTGCCCGCGCGGGCAATCACCCCAGGAGCGAGTTAACCACCGCCATGCCATGTGAGGGCGCACCAGGGAAGCGAGGGGGCGAGCTCCCCGCGGGCCAGTGCCTCGCGGCACAGTGGCGGGTTCGACGACGGAAGATAGAGCAGAGGGAGGAGGGAAATGGGGCATACGAAAGTTGCTCACAGCTGCCTCTGGTCCCGCTGTCCAGCGCGGTCCTTTGATGAACTGCCTCTCTCGACGCTTCGAGGCGCCCGCAAAACCAGATGCATACAGCCCAGTCGCTGACACCCGCTGTGCTTGCCTCCCCGTGCGTCCACCCCGAGCCGCGACAGCGTGCCTGGTTGAGGGGGAGGAGGAGGAGGAGGAGGAGGAGGAGGAGGAGGAGGAGGAGGAGGAGGAGGAGAGGGAGGAGGAGGAGGAGGAGGAGGAGGAGGAGGAGGAGGAGGAGGAGGGAGGAGGAGGAGGAGGAGGGGGAGGGGGAGGGGGAGGGGGAGGAGGGGGGAGGAGGGGGGGGAGGAGGAGGAGGAGAGGAGGAGGAGGAGGAGGAGGAGGAGGAGGAGGAGGAGGAGGAGGAGTAGGAGGGGGAGGGGGAGGAGGAGGGGGAGGAGGAGGAGGAGGAGGAGGAGGGGGAGGCAGAGCAACAGCAGCAGAAACACGAGGAGGAGGAAGAGGAGGAGGAGGAGGAGGAGGACCAGTGGAAACCCCAGACTCATCAACGATGGTGGGATACACCATCCCTCCAAGCTCCCTCTTCAGAGGCCCCATACAAGGATTCACTTCCACTGAGGGAACCTCCCCGTTCGGGGGCAACCGTGTGAAAATCTTGGAGCGTGCCAAAACACCATTCTCAGGATTTCAACGCCACGAGTCAACCTGAGTGGTGCGTATTGACGATCCTGAGTCGTGCCATAATGCCGTTCTTGAGATTTCAACACCGCGAATCAACGTAACTACTGCGCTCCGGCAATCTTGAATAGTTCGAAAACATTATTTCTGGAAGGCCGACTATGAACACCCGCGATCTAAATGTTTGCCAGGTTGCAGACGAATGCGCGCGGCGCTAAGGCGAGAGCCACATTTTGAAAAGGGACCGCCCTCAATCCGTGAAACTCTGGCGACTGTGTTAAAACGAATGTGCGCGGCGCTAAGGCGAGAGCCACGTGTTTGAAACTACCACCCTCAGTCCGCAAAAATCTTGCAATGTTTAAGACGAGTGTGCGCGGCGCTAAGGCGAGAGCCACATGTTTGAAACTACCCCCCTCAGTCCGCGAAACTCTTGCAATGTTTAAGACGAATGTGCGCGGCGCTAAGGCGAGAGCTACATTTTGGAAGCGACCCTCCCTGAATTTGTGAAACTGATGCTAGTTTCTAAGTTTCAGGCTCATCAATGGCAAGGAAGTCTCAGGCGAAAGGCCTGGCTTGCCCTTCTGACCAGCCTCGGGGTGCGACAGGGAGGAGTTATTCATCAGGAAAAGGAAAGGAGGAGGAGGAGGAGGAGGAGAAGGAGGAGGAGGAGGAGCAGCAGCATCTGATTGGACACATCGGAAAGAGCAAGAGGAACCATCAGCGACAGCCAGCCACCAACCGAGGTGGCGCAACTCCCTCAGAGACAGGCGGCATCGAGCGAGGGACCCCGAGCGACCACGAGAAGCGAAGGGAGGACGAGGGCCCGAGAGAGAGAGGGGGGGAGGGGAGCGGCAGCAGCGGGCACGACGAGGCGGAGCCCCCCCACCGCCCGCGCAGCACGCGGCCGCCGGCGCGGGAGAGCAACGACGCGGCGTGTGCAGGCGAACGTCCCCCGCCCGGAGGAAGGCGAGGCGACATCACCACCACCAGGGGGGGCCACCTCCAGCGAGGGGGTCCACGATGATGTCTCGAGCCAGAGGGCGGGGCCACACCATCAGGAGGGCTCTCCCCGGCGCCTCGCGCTGGCGGTGGTGGTGTCGCGTTTCCTTGGTCCGTGGGCCCCGGATTCTGCTCGGGTTGGCTGCCGCCGACGTTGGCGCCCCCCACCCGGGACGAGTGCGTCCGCGAGAGCAGTTTCCTCTTCCTCCTCCTCTTTCGAGCTTCGTGGCTAGATGCGCGGGGGCTTTTTTCCTCTGCTGGCCAGGTGACGTCAACACAGCGAGTGATAGCAAGGGAGGTGCACCATCGCTTGAATTCTACCAGGCGTTGCAAGTGGTGGGAAGAACACCCAGCTTGGTGGGTGGGCAGGCGTGGCCAGATAGGACACGGGGACGCCCGATCTGGCCTTGGTCGTCCTTCTGGGGGCATCGTGGGAGGCGTTTGTGCAGATCTGCGGCTCTGGCTCCGCCGAAGCTTGAGGGAGAGGGGATGAGGAGGAGGAGGAGGACGAGGAGGAGGAGGAGGAGGAGGAGGAGGAGGAGCGTGACGGAAGCCCAGTCTGCGAGCTATTTCTGTATTAGTTGTTGTGCGTCGCAATCGGTTTGATTGTCTCGTCTGGTCGATTCGATCCTCTTGAGAAGCACACTGTGAGCACCTCCGTGCCAAGTAAGACTGTGTGCATCGATGTCACGTCAGAGAGCCAAAGACGCAGCTTGTCCAGAACAAGCTGGAATTGCCCCAGACGCTTGAAGCTGCGGAGTGAGAGTTGTGCCGCGTCTTGTTGAACGTGCCCCGAGCAAGCGTGTGTCGCTACCCATACGGCCAGCAAGGAGTTGTGAAGAACCCGTGGCGGTTGCGCTGTGTGCGAGAACCCCCGCAGCCAATCCTCGAGAAGCCCCCGGACACCTCCAGCCCAGCCTGCTCTTGCTGCCTCCTTCCTCCCTCTTGTCGTCCCCGCCCCCGCCACCCTCTGCATGCTGTGAGCACACGACTGCTTGCCCGCGGCGGCCGCCACTGCCACGGGCAGCGCCCCACGGGCTCGCCGACGCCCTTGCGTTTCGCCCTCCCAAGCGGCCAGGCACCTGTGGCAAAGGCGGAGGAGTACCTGCTCATCTCGGTGGTCGCGGAGGACGGGACCAGGATCCCCGTGGAGGTTCGCCCTCCTGCAGCGGACGAGCGAGCGGGGAGTGCTGGGTTGGGAGGCTCCGACGGCTTGGCACTTTCGAGTCTCTGGGGGGCCCCAGACCCCTCGACCCCTGAGCCGTTTTCTGACGCTCCCGGGGCCAGGAAACGGCTCCAGAGGCCGAAGACACAGAAAACAGCAGACCGTATATGTGTCCGATCCTCTGCAGGTCTGGGGATGGGCTCGGGAGGGGGGAGGGCGGAGACCAGACCTCCTCCGGCGACTTGTAACCGCTTTTTGTTCCTCCCGATTTTCGGTGCCAGGTGCCGTTCCAGGGCCCTGGCATCTGGACTCAAAAGGTTGCCATTGACAAGGGGTCGGAAGGTCCCGCGGCAGGCGATTCGAACAGATCGAGTCGTCGGGAGTTTGGAAGCGGTGGAGTGGCGCGGGAGCGTTGGAAGGGGACGGGAGGCGATAAGAGGGCAGAAAGAGGTGGGGGCGGGAGGAGAGAGGAGGTGGGCCTCCAGAGGGGCCCTCGTGGCCACGGCTGGATCTGCCTCGAAATTCTGGCCAACGCACTGCATGATCATCTTCATGGGGTCGATCGGCGCCTGGTTTCCGAGCCGGACCTCGGGGTGCTCTTCGAGCGCTTGCGCTCCGCTCTCACTGCCAAGGCCAGTCGCTGAGGAAGCCTGCGCCAGTCTACTTTGAGCGCGTCCGTCTGCCATCACTCCGAGCAGGCGCGCTCCGACAGGGGCTCGATCTCCTCGCTGTCCCAGCAGCATAGATGCGTTCACACACACACACACACGCACGCACACACACACACACACACACACATATATATATATATATACATATAGATATATAAAAATATGTATATATATATACATATATCATGCCTTTCCAATGCGGCATGACCCCGCGCTCGTACTGTTGATTGATTGTCCCAAGTCCGTGCTCGAGCCACGCTCTCGAAAGAAAGCTCCGCGGTACCAGCGTAGTAATTCGACAACCCCTCCCTCGAGGTCTCGTCCAACCTCCACTCGGGGTACGCGAATCTCCCAGAGGCTGCGCAGACGGTGGACATCGTGCGGGCGTTCTTGCCCGCCATGGAGAAGGGGGCCACAGTCCGCGTAGTGGTTGGCTATCAATTGCAGTGTGCCGTTCTCGAGAACGGATGGCCTCAGACAGGGCGCAGCATCAGCGGCAACCTGGGGCAGGCCAAGGCCAGGGAGAAAGGAGTCGACAAAGGTGAGACAATCAGAGCAAGCGGCCACACCTCTCTCCCCCCCGAACGCGACAGCGACCACAAAGGATACGAGCGCGTGTTCGAACAATGGAGTTCCCCCTTTCACTGGAATCGACCTTGGCTTCCAAGGGCTACGCCAAGTTGCAGAGGAGTACATGGCCAACGGCAGACTCACCATTTCCACCATAGACTCAAGCCAGGGTGGGGAGGCGGACATTGTGATCTACCTGACCACGCGTTCCAACTTTTGGCACGACTTGGGCTTCATGGACAACCCCAACAGAGTGAACGTCGCAATCACGCGGGCCACCTCCAACGTGGTCATAATCGGGGACGGAAGGATGTTCGGCACTGCCACAGGAGCACACCTTAGGGAGCTCTCCGAGTACGGGAGGTTGGCCAAGCTATGGGTCCGCTTCTAGGAGACCAACCTGGGCAAGAGAACCACGCTACACATTGATCAGAAATTTAACCCCATCGTGGACCTCGCGACATGGATTCCCCCCGCTCCCACACACACAGGGGACGACAGCATAAAAGGTCTAGACGACGCCATCAAGAAGACCAAAGCCATAATGGATAACACCTTTGCAGACCGCATCGCGGCACCTCTCGATCCTCAGTTCTCTTGGGACAAGCTGAGCGCTGCTCTCTCTGATAGCATGCGGAAGTTGATTGACGACCCCACAATGGCTACCCTTCTGTACACAGTGTCCGGGCTACACCCCCACCAGTGGCAAATGGGGGCCACCCCAAAGCAGCCGGGCAGCTTAGACAGGAAGGCCTGGAGTCACCTTGGCTACTGCTGAGATGTGGAAGTCGGAATCGATGCCAGCAACCTCGTGTATAACCTCACGTGGGCAGCCCTGGTCTGGTTCCTTGGACTGGGTACGCCGTGGCACGACAAGCAGTTAGGCGTCACATACGACTCGCTCCCACCGCTGCCCCACATGGTTGGGAACAACCGCCGCCCCAAGGCCTCAAGCCGCTGCACCCCCCGGAGCACGCCCCCACAGTTTCCCGCGGCCTGGAGCAGCCCCACCTGCCGGCGCAGACGCCACAGGGTGCACCCAGGAATGTACAGACGCAATCCCTAGTAGGAGACGACGGGCTGCCCCTCCATCCCCCCGCACTCAGAGTGCTACTAGTGGTGATGATGCTGGAGCTACGCGAGCCCCGCGCCACACTGTGGCCCTTCCCGTGCCCAGAGGCCACAGGCGACATCATTGAGGCCATGATGGGCCTGTGCCTTCCGTGGCAGGAGGCGCACAAAGAGTTCCGCACCCAGTTCGCTGAGACGCGGGGTTTCCAGCTCGCGGACCTCGCCCCCATCCGCACCAAGCTAGCGGAGGTCATGCACCACACTAGCACCTTGGCCACATCTGCCCATCACCATGAGATTGCAGCCAAGCACGAATGTCCGAAGACATGGGCAGGAGCGCAGGCGCACGACTTCACCTTGGAGGCCCCACTTCGCGCGCTGGAAACTTTAGTCCGGCCTGCCGACGTCACGCAGCTAAACGTTAGAGGGTGTTCCATCTGCCAGCTGCACACGGCCTTGGCGGGATCAGAGGTGGGACTCGGCAGCCCACATACCATGGGCGACCTCCGGTACATTGGGGGCGGGATAGCAATCTCCAACCACCGACTGAATGAGGACATCCCGGCCTCCCCGGCCCCAGGAACAACGCTGCTCCCCCCAATCGCACGCGCGCGACGAACGCTTCTGCAGGCGGCAGAAGGATGCCACCTACAACTGCGACGGATGCACCAGCGTCGGACTACAGGGAACAGCGGGCACTTGGGAAGACGACGACACTCGGGAGCTGCTAGCCCAGAACCGTGCGCAGGCGTACACGGAAGGAAAGAACTGCAGATCGCTATGCGAGCACTGCTGGGTCAGCTCGCTGGAAAGGAAGGGGGCGCACGTCCCCGAACCCGACGCGATAGAGCGCAGCAGCAGGAAGTCCACGCAGTGGCTATTACAAGAACACAAACGCAGACTGGATGAAAACCGCGCACGGAAAAGGGCCAATACACTCCCCTCTCTATCCAGACTGCCGCTGGGGTTCGGGGTGCCATCCGGCGCTACAGCCCCAACTTCCCTCAAGGACCTCGCCCTACGTACGCCGCGCCAGTTCCGTCCAGCCAGCACAGGCACCACGCCCCCACCACGCAGGCTCACCGACGGCAGGTTCGGCACCGAGGTGCACCCAACCAAATGCCACTCGGCCACTTGTGACTTCTGCCCCCCCAGTTCCCCCCTGCTAGAGTGGTCGCCAGGCGCGCCAGCCTTGGGTTGCTTCATATGGCGCGTAGAGGCGGACGCAGACTGTGCCGAGCAGACAGGTCTCCCATCGTGGGACGCAATGCCATTGTGGATCAAGAGGCAGTGGAAAGCTAGCTGGGCTTGCAGGAGGCGCCTGGTTCACATGTGGGACACTGCCCCCAGCGCCCTCGATCGAATACTGGGCCAATGCTCCAACGAGATATACCCAGCCTCCCCCTCCAAGAAGCCAGCCATGAGCGAGATCTCAGAGGAGTGGGGCATCTGCGACATGTCAACGCACCTCTCCCCAAACAGCCCAGCGCCAGCCGCGGGCTCCAACGCGCCAACGGCAACTGCCGACGGCCGACTAAAACCCGCTCCGCGTCCACAAGGAGCCACAGCTGGAGGAGGTGCTCGCAACTACTCCCTACCAGATCTTCCACCACCTGATGCACCGCCACTACCCACATACTCCACCCGCCGCCTGGCTGGGGAGCAGTCGAGAGGCCCCGTCCGCGAGTTGGTCAAGTTTCTGATTGAGTGGAGTCACACGGTCTACTCCCTCTGGGCGGGCCACGCTCAGCGGTGGGGAAGGGGCGTCGAGGGGGAGGTGACCGACGAGTCGGGGTGGTCCCTCGAGCACCTGGTGCTCTTCCTGGACACCATCTACGGGGGCGAGATACCTGTGAACGGGCACCCCCCGCGCACCCCCTGGGACGGGCGGGGGGCAGCGGCGGCCAATGTTGTCAAGCACCTAGTGGAGAGTAACCAGAAGTACCAGGAGGAATGGCAGTGCTTTGCAGACAAACTCGACAACCAGAAAGGACAGTGCCCCCAGCGGCAGCCTATGGGCACGCTACCCCTCTTTCTATCACGAATGAAGGATGACCTTGCAGGAGGAACAATAGAGCTCCTCGCCGGCCAGCCCAAAGTTGCAAAGACCAGCGGCGCTGAAGAAAAAGGAACTCCCACAGCCGCCTGGCTCAACAAGCCCCTGGCGGCATCATCAGGCCCCTCCCCCGACCACGCTTCCCCCCAGCAACCTGCCGCACCAGGACAGTCTGACGGAGAAGCAGGAGACGTGCCGTCCCCACACAAGTATGGAGGCGGCGGCGGCGAGCATGAAGTTGACTGGGATGAGTCCAACAAGGGATCTGAGACAAGAGGGCCAGGCTCAGGGAATCCCACCAGACAGGACTGACTGACTCCGTGGCTCAAGCCAGTCCCGCACACCAGGTAGTCGAGGCTGACGTCCCAGAACCGAGCGACAGCGAGGCTTCCCACAGCCCGCCGATCCTGCGGTCTCACCCCCCCCAGAGGGTCGACTCAGCAGCCTGGTCGCCGTGCGCTTGCGCATGCGCTCGTACACTCCAGGACGATGTCGGCGACGGCAGGCAGCTAAGGCTAGTTGAAAACAAGTCAGAGCGCCGGCCACCCTCTATTCCCGAAGACGCCTCATTTGGCCGCGCAGCCCGCCCGCCACTTAGCTCACCCTGGCAGCGCCGCAGCGCAGGTCGAGGGCGCGATCCTCAGGCAGCACCCCTCCCACCAGCACGCCCAGATGACCCCATGGGCGGCCCCCCCATGCACTTGAAGCCAATCAACGGAGCAGATACTAACAAGGACGAACCAGCACCAGACAATATCATCAGACTACAGAAGACGCTGGGAGGCGCCTTCAACGGGATCTGGACCGCCTGGGCCCGCAAGGCAGGCAACAAGCAAGGGGGCACATGGGTCAACATCAAGTCCGACCCCAGGAAGAATTCGTCACAGCAACGCGAAGACTTCCTCCAGGCATGGAACAAACAGGTTTCGACGCCTACAAGATGGACGATGAGCACCGGCCCCACGTAGAATGCCCAACCATTATGGACAAGCAGCGCAAGCAGTTACAACGCGACACCAAAACCCGTACCCCCGAAGGTCCCAGCGGAGGCGGTCGCCCGCATCCATGGGCTGACGGCGGCAATGTTGCGCCAGGTTCCCCCCCAGTACCCGCTGGTGACAGAGGCGCCACGCAAGCAGCTGCCTCAGGTAGGCCCAGTGAAAATGATCGCCGGTACCCATGGAGCAAACCAAAAGAGGCCACATGTTCCCCCCCGCTGCACACCGACTACAGAGTTGCCACACAGACAGGCGCATCTAGTTCAGCCGCCCGATGGGATTCATGGCAGTCCTGGGATGGGTGGGACCGCCGGCTGGGCACGTGGGCCGACGCAGACTGGAGGATCAAAGAGAAACGAACTGCCCCCAGAGGAGACGCTCACTATGCTGACAAACGACAGCGTGGACGGGACTCTGCCCGCAAGTGGGCTCGCCTGGTCTATCCAAAAGGTACGTTGTCTCCTCCATTTCCCCAGGCCCAGGAAGGCAGCCCCATCGCCGAGGGGCAGTCGGCTAGGGCTCCAGCGCGCTCTCCCTGCTCTTGCCCTCCCCTGCTCTCTCAAGAACGGCCCACGAAGCTCGTCTGCGGCTCAAGCCACTTTTCCCCACGCTGCGACACTCAGGGCCGCTACTCTGCCCGTCTCGGAACGCAACTCATGCTTTCTGGACGACAATGACCTAGGACAGCTTGGGACAGCATCCACCGCCCTATACAACGTGGTCTCCGTCGCGCTGACGCAGTGGGCCCTATGGGGCCCTTCCGCGCCCAACGGAGGCCTATGGGTTGGCAGCCCAACGGTCCTCGATCGCCCCTTTGCTGCACACAGGCACGCATGTGGTGGGGGCGGAAGACTGCGCTGACAGCTGCCCCCACGGGCCACCGCCAACGGGGTGGCTCCTTCACGACAGGGGCTCGTTTCGCCGCAGTGACAGGCCTTGGCCTTAATACACTCGCGTCACCTCCTGGGGGCGAGGTGCACCTCTCACAACACTGCGTCTAGACCTCCCACGGTGCATCGTGGGTTCTTTGTCCGTGTGGTAATGGCTGCGATAATTCCTGCCCACGGTTCATTTTGGCCTTGTTCACACGGACATGGGCCCGTCTCGCCCGCTTGGGCACTCACTTTGGATGGCTGTGGCCGCAGGCCTTAGGCCCGCCCCATGCGCTCCACGCGTTGCACATCCGACGACTGGTGACCTTGCTCTGGTGGCGTTTTCCCCCCCACCAGGCAGGCGCCTTCCGCTGGCTACTTTTCCGACTACGCCATGTTGGGTCCTCGACTGTCTGCATCGCCGCATGGCTCTCCTCCTCCTCCTCCTCCTCCTCCTCCTCCTCCTCCTCCTCCTCCTCTTCCTTTGTATTCAACTGATTTGCGGCTATCGGCTGCGCCCCCCCCCCCCCCCCCCCCCCCCCCCTCTTCCTTCGCGACGACAACAATGGCGGGCCCTTCGACGTGTTCGTTCTCACGCAATAGGGCGCGCTCATTGCGGCACCGGCACGTCAAGTCCGCTGGCGCCCGGAGACTACACTGACAGCTGCCCCCACGGGCCACCGCCAACGGGGTGGCTCCTTCACGACAGGGGCTCGTTTCACCGCAGTGACAGGCCTTGGCCTTAATGCGCTCGTGTCTCCTCCTGGGGGCGAGGTGCACCTCTCACAACACTGCGTCTAGACTCCCACGGTGCATCGTGGGTTCTTAGTCCGTGTGGTAATGGCTGCAATAATTCCTGCCCACGGTTCACTTTGGCCTTGTTCACGCGGACATGGGCCCGTCTGCCGCTTGGGCGCTCACTTTGGATGGCTGGGGCCGCAGGCCTAAGGCCCGCCCCGTGCGCTCCACGCGCTGCACATCCGACGACTGGTGACCTTGCTCTGGTGGCGTTTCCCCCCCACCAGGCAGGCGCCTTCCTCTGACTACATTCCGCCTACGCCTTGTTGGGTCCTCGACTGTCTGCGTCGCCACTTGGCTCTCGCCCTCCTCCTTTGTTTTCAATTGATTTGCGGCTATCGGCTGCGCCCCCCCCCCTCTTCATTCACGACGACTGCAGTGGCGGACCTTTCGACGTGTTCGTTCTCACGCAATAGGGCGCGCTCATTGTGGCGCTGGCAGGTCGGGCACACCGGCTTCCTGCACCTGGGGCGCAGTCTGGCAGGGGCGTGCTCACCGGTCTGGCGTCCCGCCAACAGCTTGCCAGCGACGTCGACCTCCTCTGGAGGGCTCCTTGATTCGGACTCCAGCGGTGCAAGGCGGTCAGGCGGCTCTCATTCTTTCGCCCACCGGCAGTTCACAGCCGACGGTTGGTGGTAACGTTCTGGCCCACGTGACGTTCCCCCCTTGTGCGTTGTTTCTACTCGACTTCACGTCAAGTCCGCTGGCGCCTGGTTCTGTGAAGGCCAAGCTTCGAGCACATGAGGTGATTGTGAGTGAGGCTTACGTGGTTTTGCTCGCCTTCGTTGCACTCACGGGCGGGCTTCTGCCAGGGTTTCAGCTGCCCGCTGTGCCCTGCCCTTCGCCGTCCGGTCTGTCGGGCGCTGGCGCCACTGTGCGACGCCCCGCTGTCCGTCGTCGGCTGCCGTTTTAGATTGGCTTAGTGAGGTTCATTTTGTTCCTCGCATGTGCATTCCGGCGTTGGCTTGTGGCCCGCTGGCAATTATCTCGCTTGTTGCCCCAAGCTTGTTTCGACCCACTCTCTGGAATCGTCCTTGGAGCCGCAGATCAAAAGAAAGTAACCCCACCAGAGTGCTTTCGTGACCCGTAGCGCTCCTGATTCCGCTAGCGCCTTCGCTGGTGGACGCGACCGGAAAAAGTAACCCCGCCAGCCCCGAGCGACTCTGCCGATGCTGCTGGCGCGCTCGCCGCAGCCGCGACAGAAAAGTAACCCCACCAACCCATCCAGAGACGATGCCCAGAGGATATGCCTCGATCAGGGAAGTGGGCAGCACACAGCGGAAGGGTCCCTCTTGGAGCGCTCTTGGGGCACTATTGGGCGCTCTTGGGGCCGTCTTGAGGCTCCCTTGGTCCTCTCTTGCGTTTGGGGGGCCTCTTGGCGGTCCCGGGGGCCTCTTGGAGCGTCTCGGGGAGCCTCTTGGGGCATCTTGGGGGTCTCTTGGGGCTCTTGGAAGCCTCTTGGGGCCTCCTGGCCGCCTCTCAGGGCCCTCTTGAGGCGCTCTTGGGAGCCTTGGGAGCGCTCTCGGCGCCATAAAAGAGGGGTTCCTTAATTAGCGTTGCCCCCCAGGAACCCCAAACATAGCCTCCTGGACACCTCTTGGAGCGCTCTTGGGGCCGTCTTGGGGCTCTTGGGGCCCTCTTGGGCCATCTTGGAGCCATCCTGAAGCCCCGGAAGGTTATCGAAAGCGAACTGGCGACGATGCAAACATGATTGTTTTTTCCTTTGGGTTTTGAAGGATGTTGGCCTTTTTCGGAGGTCTCCTTGCAGGTTTCAGAGGCGTCTTGGGGCGGTCTTGGTGCCTTTTGGAGCATCTTCGGAGCCATCTTGAGGCATCCTAGGCTATCTTGAGCCATCTTGGAGCTCATCTTGGGCTCTCAGATGCGTTTTTGGAGCCGTCTTGGGCCATTTTGAACGCCCCAACCACCAGGGTCCCCCCCTCCAGGTCCAGGGGAGGGGGTATGTGGAGGGGTAAATCCCTCCCCGAAGGGGAAAAAGGGGGTTGGAAGAGGAGCTAGCTCTAGACCACCTACGCCCAGAGGGCTGGGATGTCGGCGTTGATATGGATCTGTCGTTAGCCTCGTTTTACAAGAGCGCGCGACTGTTCATTACATAAGGTAGTCATCACCAGTCCAGACATGAAGAGAGGCGCCTGACGTGCTGGCTGCTGGCGCGCCTGACGCGCCAGGCTCCTCGAACGGATTGGGCCGAGTTTCCTTCGGCTGAAGAGCTCGCTGCGCCTTGCCAGTGCTGAGACGCTGCCATGCGCTGGCACATGCATAAAGAGGAGGGGTGCAGGAAGGAAGGAGGAGCTGACCCGCAGCGGCGTGGCAGCACAGGCCCGACCCATGGACACCGTCAAGGTGGTCAAGGCCATGGTAGAGCTGGAGATAGGGGTGAGCAAGGACAGCTCGTTGGCTGGTGCCTCCTGGTGCTCCTCCCCCTCCTACTGCTCCTTCTGCCTCTGCTCCTAGTCTTCCTACTGCTTCTGCTCTCCTCCCCCACAGTCTCCTCAGAGGAGGAAGGAGAAGAGGAGAAGGAGACGATGAGAGGTCGGCAGCGACACCCTGATATCCTCAGGTTGCGAGTGAGTGAGTGGAGGAGTGAGCGAGTTAGGAGAGTTCCCGTGCGACGAGAGGCGCGGCCGTTCCGACGAGCACGCCCCGGCGAGCCCCACTCCCCTCCCGCTCCCTCTGCCGTCCCAGCCCGCCAGGAGGACCAGAAGCTGCTGCTCGGGGAAAGGCAGCTCCCAGAGGCGCCCACCCGCCACGGGAGCAGGGAGCACCAGAGGGGGCGGGGCGGGTCCGCAGGCGCAGGGGGGCAGGCGCGCCTCCCGCTTCCCCCCCCTCTCCTCTCTCTTTCAGAAGGCGGCATTCGGAGTTGTGCGCACGGGGGTGTCGGCAGGGGGCGGCCGGGAAAAAGTTCTTCTCCGGGAGAAGGGTTCGTTCTCCGGGAGAAGGGCTCGTTCTCCAGGTGTACTGACGCAGATCCGGGTGAGCCCCTTACAGATTTTCCCGCCTTCCCCAAACACCACAAACCAAACACCAAACACCAACCCCCAAACACCAAACACCAAACGCCAACCACCAACCCCCAACCCCCAAACACCAAACACCAAACACCAACCCCCAAACACCAAATACCAAACACCAAACGCCCAGTCATAACATGTGAGAAATGTATCGGTGAATGCCCTATTTTTAAAACGAATCGCCTTCCATCCACGTGACCCTCGTTCTTAGCAGCGGAGGAGGAGGAGGAGGAGAAGGAGGGATATGGAGAGATAAGGAGGAGGAAAAGGAGGAGGGAGATGGAAGGAGGAGGACGGAGAGGGGCGAAGCGGGGAAAAGGGGCGTTTCAGTATTTTCACGACGGCAGCCTTAGGAGAACCAAGAGGGGGGAGGCAGGGGGTGGAAACGGCTCCCCTGGCCTCCTCTTGCCGCCAGAGAGAAAGGGAGAGAGAACGAGGGCCCCCTCTGATGATTTCTTTCCCCCTCCTCTCTTCATTTCCCGCTTGCCTTCCTCGTTCCCCCTCCTCCACTTCGCCCTCCCCTCCTCCTCCCCTCGTCCTTTCCCCCCTCCCCATTCCTCCCGCCACAATTATTCAATACGAACCCAGCGCGACCTCAATTGGCATTATTTCTTTCAAAGCAGTTCTGAGCAATACAATGCACAGCATTGCTTAGCGTTGCTCTCCACATTGCTTGGAACCGTTGCTTGGCATTGCTTGACGCTGATTTGCTTTGCTTGGCGTTGCATGCCATTGCTTGGCATTGCTTGGCGTTGCTTGGTGTTGCTAAGCATTGCGTGCCGTTGGCTTGGTATTGTTTGGTATCGCCAGGCGTTGCTTGGCACTGCGTGGAATCGTTGCAACGTATTGCTTGGTATAGCTTCCCATTGCTGTGTATCGCTGTGCACTGCTTAGCGTTGCTTGCCATTGCTTGGCATTCCGGAGAAACCCAAGCAAGGAACCAAGACCAAAGAAGCCAAGGGCCCCCAGGGACCCCCCCGAGGAATGAAGTCGTACCCAGCGGTTCTTTCACAAACAAATAAGATACCTTTCGGTGCAGCCGATTTGGGTTATGAATGTTACTCTTCCTCTCACTCTCTCTATTCAGAGAGAGAGAGATATTCTGTGCGAACGGGGCTCCGTTTCTCCCGCTTCTTGTTTTTTTGTTTAAGATCGGATGTCATTAGTTTGCTGTTCACATGCATTTTGTCAATCGGGACGGTTTTAATATTGAGAGGGCCTGACGGCCGATGCCCCCCACCCTGAAGCACATCGACGACCAGTAGGAGGAGGAGAAAGAGGAGGAGGAGGTAAGGAAGACGAGGGGGAGGAGGGGTGGAGGAAAAGGAGGAGGAGAAACCTTTGCTGTTGCTTTTCCTCATGCTCCTCCTCCTTGTCCTCCTCCTCCTCCTCCTCCTCCTCCTCCTCCTCCTCCTCCTCCTCTCTCCTCTTTCTTCTTCTCCTCGTCCTCCTCCCCAACCTCCTCCTGACTACTCCTCCTCCTCATCTCCCTCCCGCTCCTCGACGACGGCGGCAACCACGACGAACCCATATCGCCGCGCCTTGCCGAGCGCCGGCGGGCGAGGGGGGAAGGAGATAAGGAGAAGGAGGGGGAGCTGTTGGAGTGGGGGCCCCAGTGAAGAAACAATCACAGTACCCCTGGGACCCCCCCTGGGACCACCCCCTAGGACCACCCCCCCGGACCACCCCCCGGGACCACCTCCTGGGGGGACCCCCCCCCCCCGCCCCTCCGCCCGGTAAGGGATCCAAGGGGAGGGCTTCGCCTTCACCTCGGAGAAGGAGGGGGAGCTGTTGGAGTGGGGGCCCTAGTAAAGAAACAATCACATTACCACCGGGACCCCCTGCGTGACCACCCCCTGGGACCACCCCCCGGGACCACCCCCCGGGACCACCCCCCGGGACCCTCCTCGGGACCCCCCCCCCGCCCCGGGAATGGATCCAGGGGAAGGGCTTCGCTTTCACCTCCATGTGAACGATGTTATGTGGCGTATTGGCTGGAGTGGATTGCGTCGCCTTCACCTCCATGTCAACGACGTTATGTGGCGTAGTGGGAGGCGTGGAGTGCTGCAGGAGGGATGGCGGCGACCACGCGGACGAAAGCGTCTCACACAAGCCGACAGGGTCGGCGGATTTCAAAAGTATGTTATCGATGCAGCGTTGGCCTCATTTCAGGATCGACGCTTTGCTCCCGCCTTCCCCTGGTCCTCCTGCTCTCCTCCACTTACCTCGCTCCCTCTCCTCATTGGTTGTTATTATCCTTCTTTTCTTCCTCCACTTCGGAGAAAGATGGGGGCCTCCCATCAGGATGCCACGCTGAGCGAAGTGGGCATCGACAAGGACCTAGAGCTCAAGCTAGTGGTTATCAAGGCCTTTTGCCGCGCCCCGGCACCCAGGCAAAGGAGGAGGGGGAGGGCCGAGAGAGAGGGGAAAGAGGGAACGAACGAACGAGCGAGCGAACGAACGACGCGCTCCATCAGCCTGGAGGCCGTCCCGAGACGGGTGGCGCGGTGGCGCCTCAGCGCCATCAGTTCGGGTACATGGCGGCGCTTTCCAGTCAACAGTTATACTGCCCCCCATGCCGCCAGACGTGATGAAAGTACCAAGTGAAGGGGGGAGGGCGAGCCTTCATTCAATGGGTGCGGTGCGGTGGGGAAAAAAAACAACAAAAAAAAAAAAAGTGAAGGGGGGAGGGACCGAGTGAATCGAGGTTCGTAACGAACGTAGGGGGCCGCACCTGCGAAGCGGATCCTGAACAGAGGCCCAGCGCTTTCCCGGGACGAACCCCGTGTTGTCGGGGTGGCAGGCGGTGGCATTTGAATTCCACCCCGCGGGGCGGACCGTCCAGAACCCAGCTTGACCGTACCCCTGAGACAGCACATTCCGAGATGCTCCGAGTTGATCAATAAGCATGTTGTGTGTGGGTGTGGGTGTGGGTGTGTGGGTGTGGATGTGGGTGTGGGTGTGGGTGTTGGTCCGTAGCCTTTGGCGCAAGTCTTTGGCTCAAGCCTGGTTCAAGCCGCCGTGGCTCAAGCTGGCTGGCAAAGCCTCGGGCCCCTATTGGCGCTTCGGGCGGGCGATGGGGACGGCGGCGGCTCGCCGGCCGCGCCCGCGGGCGCCGCCGGCGTTGCGGGCGCCGCCGGCGCCGTCTGCGCCGCTGCCGCCGGCGCTACAGGCGCCGAGGGGGCCGCGGGCGCGGCCGGCGCCGCGAGCGCCACAGCCGCCGCGGCAGCCGCCACGTTCGCCACCGCCGCGGCCGCAGCCGAGGCGGCCTCCGCCGCCGCCCAGGCCGCTGGCGCTGCGCGCGGGTTCGCGCGCGCACTCGTTTCTCAAGAATCAGAATATTTCAAGAATCCATTGCAAAAAAAAGAGAGAGACGAAGTGCGCACACGCGCGTCGTCGCGCGCGCATGCCGAAATCCTTCAAAAACTTTCGGTTTCGGACGGATTTCAAAATCGAGTGCCCCCCCCCCCGAGAAAACAAACATGGTTTGGCAACCCGGATTTTCAACAAAAGCGTGCGCGCGCAAATGTGAGTTCTTATGAAAACCATAAGTCTTCCAACATGTTCATCAAATGCTTCCAAACGGGCTTCGCGCGCGCATGTCGAACTCGTTCGAACGCCCTTGCGCGTGTGCTGGGGTGGCACGATCCGTGTCAAATAATACCATGCGAGCCGCTCTGGCGCGTCTGCCGCGCGCGCATTTCGAATTCCTTCCAAAATTTTCATCACCGACGCGAAGACGCCGTCATCATCGTCGGCGTGATCAGCATCGGCGTCGTCACTGGCTGCCCCGTGGTCGCTGCCAGCATCGTCACCAGCATCGCTACTATCATCATCGTGTCTACCGTTGTCGACGTTGCCATGATACCGCGCCCGCCCAAGTCGCCGATTCGCATTGGAATTCCCGCTATGTGCCGAGCGGTTAGCGCCACCGCGTTCGCGTCGATCGCGCCAAACTAGCCGACCGCTGCGCGCACGAGCATGCGCGGGCTACCGCGGCCGCAGAGATGCACCAGCCAGCACCCGGAACTCATCGCAATCTTTCCCGCGTGTGTTTTGCAAGCCACGTTGCGGGTGGGTGGGTGGGATGAATACGCGAGCAGTGGAGTTGACAACTTCAGGTTCGGCCTGTGATCTAGAAGGACATAGGTTCTATCATCTTCCCCGCCCGGACTTATCGATACCCCGGGAACCGATGCAAAAGACATTCGATTCTGACCCCATGTCCATCCGATTTGTGAATTCATGCAACCCCAACCAGGCAGCATCGGTCCCCCTCTCGACTCCCTTGCAAAAATATTATTCGCGCATTTTCGTTTTTCAACAATCTGAGGTTTTCGAAAAATCAGCGCGAAAAACGGGACGAAGTGCACGCGCGCGCGTCGTCTGGCCCCCCTGCGTTGAAACCGCAGCTCGCCCAGCATGTATTTGTGGTGCCTGTAATTCTCCGTCACAGAAGCTAACAAAGCCCCTCTGTCAGGGGATTGGGCATTGGCCTCCATGTGGATGTCAATGTTCTCTGTCAAACCCTGGGCGACTCCTTCGCGGCGTTCGTTGACCACGCGAAGAGGCGGCCCGACCAAGCACCCCACCTCGCTAAGGATTGGAAGCACGGCGGTCTTCGGCACAGCAGGCTGGGTGTCTCTGACGAGTTTAGCAGCCTTGCGATGCCCGTCGATCTGATACACCCTTGCTCTCTTGGCCACGCACTCGCGTAGCTCTAAGACTTGCGTCGCTACCCGCAGCCGGTGGAAGTCGCGCGCCAGGCCCCGCAATGTCGCCGAGGCAGGGACAAAAGACAACCAGTATTGCAATGTTACCCCGCCGCGCGGTTTCCTGTGCGCGCTGCCCATTGCGTGCCCTTGCAATCTGCTCACGCATGCCGCGCGGACCGACTCTGTGTTGCGAGTCTGCCGAAAATTCTGATACAACGTGGCAATGAAAGGAACGGCGTGCCAGATTTTCTTGCGACCGCTACCATTTCCGCGAAATCCTCTGGCACAGGAGTTCGTCTGGACAGCGGCGCGAGCAGGGAATGCCCCTTTGGCCTCGAGGTGGCGTCTAACGTCCTCGTCACTGCAATAGGTTTTTTGTCCCCACATGTTTCGTGGGGCTCTGGTTTTCACACGCACCCCCCCTCCTCCACCTCCTCCTCGTCACGCATACAGCACAGCGCAGCGCTGCCCACCACAGTTCAGCACAGCACAGCACACCACAGCACATCACAGCAGAGCACAGCATATCACAGCACAGCACACCGCAGCACGGACAACACAGGCAGTGGCACTTTCTCCACACCACAGGGGCTCGACACCACAGGGGGTGCGCAGAGGGTGGTCCCTCAGCGCGGCCTCTATCCGTGACACGCTCGCAGATCGTGGCAGGAGTGGCACTTTCTCGACACCACAAGGGGGTGCACAGAGGGCGGTCCCTCAGCGCGGCCTCTATCCGTGACACGCTCGCAGATCGTGGCATGAGTGGCACTTCCTCGACGCCACAGGGGGTGCGCAGAGGGTGGTCCCTCAGCGCGGCCTCTATCCGTGACACGCTCGCAGATCGTGGCAGGAGTGGCACTTTCTCGACACCACAGGGGGTGCGCAGAGGGTGGTCCCTCAGCGCGGCCTCTATCGTGACACGCTCGCAGATCGTGGCAGGAGTGGCACTTTCTCGACGCCACAGGGGTTGCGCAGATGGTGGTCCCTCAGCGCGGCCTCTAGGGCAGGATCGTGGCAGGAGCGGCACTTTCTCGACACCACAAGGGGGTGCGCAGAGGGTGGTCCCCCAGCGCGGCCTCTATCCGTGACACGCTCGCAGATCGTGGCAGGAGTGACACTTTCTCGACACCACAGGGGGTGCGCAGAGGGTGGTCCCTCAGCGCGGCCTCTATCCGTGACACGCTGGCAGATCGTGGCAAGAGTGGCACTGCACTTTCTCGACGCCACAGGGGGTGCGCAGAGGGTGGTCCCTCAGCGCGGCCTCTATCCGTGACACGCTCGCAGATCGTGGCAGGAGTGGCACTTTCTCGACACCACAAGGGGGTGCGCAGAGGGTGGTCCCTCAGCGCGGCCTCTATCCGTGACACGCTCGCAGATCGTGGCAGGAGTGGCACTTTCTCGACACCACAGGGGGTGCGCAGAGGGTGGTCCCTCAGCGCGGCCTCTATCCGTGACGCGCTCGCAGATCGTGGCAGGAGTGGCACTTTCTCGACACCACAGGGGGTGCGCAGAGGGTGGTCCCTCAGCGCGGCCTCTATCCGTGACACGCTCGCAGATCGTGGCAGGAGTGGCACTTTCTCGACACCACATGGGGTGCGCAGAGGGTGGTCCCTCAGCGCGGCCTCTATCCGTGACACGCTCGCAGATCGTGGCAGGAGTGGCACTTTCTCGACACCACAGGGGGTGCGCAGAGGGTGGTCCCTCAGCGCGGCCTCTATCCGTGACACGCTAGCAGATCGTGGCAGGAGTGGCACTTTCTCGACACCACAGGGGGTGCGCAGAGGGTGGTCCCTCAGCGCGGCCTCTATCCGTGACACGCTCGCAGATCGCGGCAGGAGTGGCACTTTCTCGACACCACAGGGGGTGCGCAGAGGGTGGCCCCTCAGCGCGGCCGCTATGCGCGACGGTCGTCCAGGGCATAGCAGGCGTGGCACTTTCTCGACGTCATAGGGGGTGCGCAGGGGGTGGTCCCTCACCGCGGCCGCTACGCACGACGGTCGTCAAGGGCGTAGCAGGCGCGGCATTTTCTCGACACACATAGCACAGGGGGTGCGCAGCAGGGGGGGTCCCTCAGCGCGGCCGCTATGCGCGACGGTCGTCCAGGGCATAGCAGGCGTGGCACTTTCTCGACGTCATAGGGGGTGCGCAGGGGGTGGTCCCTCACCGCGGCCGCTACGCACGACGGTCGTCAAGGGCGTAGCAGGCGCGGCATTTTCTCGACACCATAGAGGCTGCGCAGGGGGTGGTCCCTCACCGCGGCCGCTATGCACGACAGTCGCCCAGGGCATAGCACGCGTGGCATTTTCTCGACACCAGAGAGGGTGCGCAGGGGGTGGTCCCTCACCGCGGCCGCTGGCTGGCTCGAATCTGTCTTCGATGGAGGATAGAAGGCTAGGAAGCGGGAGGAGGTTCAAGCAATATGGCGCTGGATGACACATAGGGGAACATTCGCGACGAGGGCTGAGAACGCAGAATTGCGCATATATTATAAACTTAAGCAAACACATAAGATTTAAATTTAGTATGTGGGGTTCCTCGGTAGCGTAATTACCGCAACCCTGGCATCGAACGTCCTGCCTAAGAACCGCATGGACACGGGCGGCGTCGAGAATAGCTCTAGGCCCGCACCGCCCAAGCGATATCGGCGCAAGA